GTGGTTGATGGGAGTCAAGAATGTGTGGTCCTGGTTTCAGCTGCCCCACTAAGCAGTTGGGGTGACTGCAGGTCATTTTCCCCTCAGGACAGTTACCCTGTGTTGCAAGAGAGGCTTCACATGGGGAACAAAGCAGAGGAGAGTGGCTCCTGCTTTAATTTAAAAACTTCCTATTTTACCCCTTTTATTCTCTTGAGGACTTCAGAGTCAATATTTTGGATTTTAAATATTCTTCAGATTTTTTAAAAAAGTGATTTTAGTTTTGGAAATTGTAAACTCAGCTCAGAAACACTAGACTGTTGAGTGCTTAGACACTTTGCAATACAGACTATGTGAAGACACTAACATATGAATGAAACAGAATAATGTGGAAATTCTACAGTATGACTAAGAAGTTATGCATTTATGATACATTTTAGAAGTTAGACAAAAAGCAAATTCCATTTCATTACTGTGCTCTTAAATTTAAATGAATACACAGGTTTCTTTTTATTTTAAGAATTTAAGACATAATTCTGAGTTTAAAATACTCTCAGACATTAGAATATTCTCATTAACAGAATAGTTGTTTGAAAATGACTTAATAGCTTCTAAGAAGAAAACTGAAATTGCAATGGATGAGATGGCATTATCTTTCATGTTAATACAGTGTGCTTTAAATGAACTAGCTCCTTTTCTGAGAAAAACATTTGTTATAGATGATTTTTTAAATAAAATAATCAGGAGGAGGGTACAGCTCAGTGGTAGAATGCCTGCTTAGCATGCACAAGGTCCTGGGTTCAATTCCCGGTACCTCCATTAAAAATAAATAAATAAATAAACCTAATTACCTCCCCCCCAAATAAAATAAAAAATAATTAAAAAAAATAATACCTGTTTGCTATTCTAATTGCAAACAAAGAGTTGTAATGTACCTACTGAAACGTGGCAGTGCTGAAGAAAGAATCCTAGATAGACCCTTTTATTTCTGTTAACCCATCTCTCTGATCCCCAGACTGTGGCCCAAGGCAGCACATGTGCCTCCCCGACACGTGGCAGTCCCTCACCCAGGTCTTGGAGAGTGCCATTGTCATATATTGGATTATTTACATTATTAATGTATGGTTTTACCAAGTAACATTAAACTTCTTTCTAGGGGAAATAAGAATCGAGTTCTTAGTCTTGTTTTTCTCACTTATTTTGTCTCAGTTATCTATTGCTATATACCAAACTTCCCCACAACTTAGTGGATTAAACACCAGTTTTCTTGCTCACAATTCTGTGAGTCAGCAATTTGGGCTGAGCTCTGAAGAACTGAGGCCAGTTCTTCTGTTGGTCTCACCTGGGGTCACTCATGTGGCTCCAGTCATCTGGCTTAACCAGTGCTAGGTGGCCTCACGCGCATGTGTAGGGTGTAGCACTGGTTGTCTTCTGAGCCACGTGTCTCCAGATGAGTCCAGGCTTCTTCACTTAGCAGTTGTACATTTCCAGGAAGACAAGAGCAAAATCTGTAGGTATCTTCGGGACTGGACTACGAAGTCACACAGCATTCCTTCTGTGGCAAAGCAAGTCACAAGGTCAGCTCAGATTCAAAGTGTGAACGAGAGATTCCGTGTCTTGACGGATGTAGCTGCAAAGAATTTGTAGCCATTTAAAATCTACCACATTAATGTTTTGTTGGTATAGTTGGTAGTTTATTTTTGACATATTTATCCTTCATTCTCACAAATATGTAATCAAGTTTACTAACTGCATGCTGATTTAATTTTACTCTTTGTTCAGTTTGTTTTCTTAGGAAATATCTTTCTCTCACCTCTTAGAAAGTGCCTTTCCATCTGCTTTCAAAAACTTATCATCTCTTGTGATGATCTTAACAGCTGTGGGCTTTGTTGATATTACCTTTGGGCTTCTGTGTCTTAATATATTCTCTGTCTTAAAAGAGATTTTTCTTGTATTTATAATTTTCTTTTTAGCTTCTCCCTTCTTAGAGATCTGAAAAATGAGATCCAAAGACATTCTTATATTATAACCTCCTTTCTTCTTGACAAAATGTAAGATCTTGTCTTTAAAGGTTTAAAACTTGACAAATAAGTGTCTGAGGTCATTCTTTAAGGATAATTGCTGAGAAATGCTCTATGCCCTCTCTTGTTAACCAGGCTGAAGTCATCTTTCACTTCAGAAAATTTTGCTTTGAATTTTTTTCATCTGATCATGGCTTGTATGGTCCTGGCATTTTCACTTTTCTCTCTTATCCTTGTTATTTCTAAATTGGAAACCTTTTTTTTTTTCTTCTGCTTTTAGGCTTCTGATTCTAGATCTGTAATATACCCATTTGTATAACTGGGATTTTTCTGTATTAATGTATTTTTAGAATCCCTGACTTTGTACTCTGCAGTATCGACTCTGTTCTTTTTAAATGCTCATTGATACTTAGTTTAGTATTATATAAGCCGGGTGCAGGTTTATATATCATTACACGTTTCTTTTAGAAGATAGTTATTTCTTTTTTAAATCTCTTTTAAAGTAGACATTATTAGTTCATTCCAAGATACCACTCTGTATGTTTAATAAATGTATCATTTTTTCCCATGATGAAATTGGGAAATTGTATTTAAAAGAAAGAATATTACCCATAGTCTTGCCATTCTAGAAGGAATCTCTGTTATACTATATTAATATATTTCCTTTCAGTCCTTTCTTTAGGAATTTTTATGTGAAGTGTAACACCTATACTGCAAAATGCACTTATTTTAAGTGCACAACTCAATAAGTTATCAAGAAGTGACACCATACCTGTGTAACCACCATTTAGGTTAAGTATAGAACACTCCCAGCATCCCAGAAAGCCCACTCCAGCTTCCTCCCAAGTCTTATCCCTCTCTCTTTCCCAGGTAACTACTGTTCCAGTCATTTTGTGTACATATTTTTCACAGTTGTGGTTATACCACATATATGAATTTACCTTCTGGGACTCCCAAATACTTGGTAAACATAATCTTTAATGAATGAATTTTCTATTCATGATAGGAACATGTAGATACTATGAAGATTTTTCCTTAAAATAGGGTGGAAGAAATTTTGTGTATTTTCATTTTGTCTCAGTGGAAGATGCTTAGCTTTGGTTCTGATTTAAACTAGATCTGTAGGTGTGTTTTTTAAAGTATCTTTGGCTTTATTGATATTTTAGTAAAAACAATACAAGTTCTCTCTATATATATTGAATCATTATATTGTATACTTGAAGCTAATGTTATATGTCAGTTCTATCTCAATTTTAAAAAATAAAATAATAAAGAAACAACAACAAAAAATAGAGTATCATTAAAAAATTCAGCTCATGTTTTGATTCAAATTTCTGTTCCCACAATCTTAGATATCAGGCTTAAAGGTTGACAGTGGATAAAATTTTTGAATTTTCAGTATGAGGTTAGAAAATCAGATTTTAGAAGATGACTAGCATTATTGGTAGTTAGAATATCCATCCTGTTCACCTTTAATCTGAGGTGGTATTTTCTGCATCTGTCACAGACTAGCGTTAGAGTTGAAAAGAACATGTGCCAGAGGCATCCAGTGTCCTCAGGCATTAGTCCCTGTTGTTTCCTTTTGGATGCTCTTGTAATTGCATAATTTTTAGTTTAAAATTGTATAACTGGTGCTTGTTTTTCCCCTAGCTGTAAACCCTTCCCCAGTTCCAGCTCTGTAGGATCTTGGTGTCTCCTGTGTCCACTGCCCCCTGCACTGCATGGACAGCCCTTGAAGTGAGAGTTTCCAGAACTGTTGATACCTTGGCCTTTGCTGCCTCTGGGCTCCTGTTCCTGAATCAGTCAGCCACTCTCTTGCTCATTTTTCTCTCTCTAGACTATAGAGCATTGCTTCTTTAAAAAACAAGCAAAAATACTGACCTGACACACGACAAATTACTTTTTCAAAAAAAGCTTCGTTTAGGCTCTTGGTCCTACTCAACTTACCTCTGAAGTCTTTTTGATTTTCTAGACCATTCTCCACAATGTCTTTCTTCACCCTTCTACAGGATCATAAACACTCTGGACATTTTTTCTTACCTCCTCCTTAATTGTAAAAATAGACAAGAATGAATACCTTCTTCCAGCCCTGTCATCTCAGAATATTTATGTCCTGTCTCTACCCTCCACCCTCTTTCCAGTGAGTTCCTAATTTTCTCACTGGCTTCATCCAGATCTTTGCTTCCCCAGTAATCCACAGGCGTTTTTTGTTTGTTTGTTTGTTTGTTTATTTTGGTTTGGTTTTTGTTTTCATAAGATCTTCAATCAGTTCTTTTCTCTATTTTCAAAACTCACTTGACCCCACTGTTTTACCGTCCTATCAGCAAATTTGGTTTCTCTTCTATCAT